AAATAAAAGGGATCCATTTAGTTAATGTAACTTAATTACAGTTTACTCAAAAATATTCCTTTTGTGTGTAATGATTATAATCAAGTTAAAGGGATCCGGTAACTTTGTCTCAGATTCTGAAACAAAATCCTGGATTTAGCTCATGCTGCAATGATAGTTATAAACATTTAGGTCAGTCAGGACCCCCATGACTTTTACAGGCCGATCGCCTGTCTGATTATCAAGATATTTATGATTGGAATTACAAATTTTGAAAACCGTTTGCCAAACGGTTTTCATAACACTACAGTCTATTGGGGAAAACGAGTATGGTAAATCCGGTCACTCAAAGGTTTTTACTTTTTTGAGGCACTTCTTGATCATTTTGAAGCGCAATTTTTTTAGGGCTTCAATATAGCACGATATCACAGACACTGTTAACACGTAGGGCCGTGCATCTCAGATTTAACATTGTTAAACGATCCCTTTAATAAAAATACGCATATAAAACTTCTCTGTAAAAACGCAGGTTAGTACTGTTAGAAAAATGTACGAAGTGTTGTTAGTAAATTAAACATGGAGGCCCCACAGGAAGAGATGGCATCTTGCTGTGAAATATTAGCCCCCAAATCATAAAAAATTGGTTACCATGCACAGTTGAAGTTAAAACTTCACTATTTTCACATTGCCTGCAACCTCCTGAAGGACTGGCCAGAAAAGGCCGTCGTGGTGGTTGATCTGGAAGAGAAGAAGATGAAAGAAAAACGTGCGAATGAAGAAGATGATGATCAACCTTCAACAGCTTTCTTGATAAAGAGCAACCTTCCAGGTCCAGACTCAACATGTTTGGGTATGGTCAAAGGTAATTATAATTGTAAATATATCATATTTATGGAAATATTTCTCCTCAAAGCCACTGTTTATTAAACGGTTATATCCCAGGTTTAGTTCACATTTCAATTTTAATCTCTTTGGATATATTAAACCTTGTAGCTTGACGGTATTTGCTATGTCTGCGAAGTCGCGTTGTGCTTTTATAGTTTCGTGAAGAACGAGACAATAGTTTTGTTTGGAATATTTATTTCTGCCATATGCGAAAAATTTAGAAGATCTTCCACAGTCCCTATCATGACATGTGTTCACTGTTCGATCTAATCGAATCGGCTTTGTTTCCATCGTCTTCAGTGTTTTAATTAAAGGTGGACCTATTTCATAAATAAACCACCAACAATAATGAATAAGGCCTACATACGTGACAGATAATCTTTGCACATAATGCAGTAACACACCAGTTTAGGTAATAGAAAAACGGCTGTTCAAACCTTCATTGCTGATTGATACTCCTTTTTGTTAACCATTTTCATCATCCGGCTAAAGTAATAATTATTTAGCTTTTGAAGAGGAGAAGATAAAAGTATGCGTTCAATCATGGACCTATTACGGATGGACATTCAACATGATTCTTTCTTTGATCCAATGATAGTCGCCGCCTTCTGATTATGTGCATCTTAATGAGAATATTCAGCTGTTTTAACAATAACGAATGCGTAAGCATTTTCGGTCATTGATAAAGGAGCAGTTTCCCTCTCTTGGGTTTTGTTTGGATGGTGTGCTCTGTAAGAGTGTGTCTTAAATAAAAGCATCCCCAATGGGGAGCAGCAAAGTTGAAAAGCAGACGATTTGGGTGAGATGAAATGTATTATTACTGATTCGCAAACAAGTTTCGCACACACCTATGACCTTATAAAACAATTAGAAGACAATGATCTGTATCAGCCCTGTGCGTTGTAACTCTGGAATATTATGAGGAAATTGGGGGAAACTGGTAATATCAACATGTTTTTCAAAATAAAATACATGTACAGTACACGGAACAACAATTTCCGATTATAAGCCAGAACTGCACATCTATGTGCCATGATTTAGTCGAGTTATTATCTTCTGCGCATGTAGATTAACATGTGTAAAATCACTATCTTGATTCTGTCCCGGCTTTTGGCGGTGACCATCATGAGATCAAAGTGAAGAAACATATAGGGAATGTTATTGAGACGACATTGACGGAGACAATCACAATGAATTCGTTAATAAAACGATGAATGTCCATCCGTAATAGGTCCATGGTTCAATCAATCAAAATCTTAGCTTTTATGTTGACACATGACATTTTTAACCCAAACATTCAATCATATCTAGGTTACTTCTCTGCTACACGTCGCCTTGCAACCAACATGACGTACTCGACGTTGATCATCTCATCCATTTCTGATTCGATCATGTTCGCTGGTTTCTTTTCGTTTCTTGGACGCTACCTGCAGACACAATATGACGTCACGCCATCGATGACGTCAATAATACTCGGTGAGCGGAAAGCTGTGACGAAATCGGCATGGGATATGTCTGGTTCGATATTAAATTAACACAATTATTAGTGCCACAGTCCATGATAAGAGAAGTCATTCTAAAAAGTGTTTTGATCACATTTTCGGTTTTGTTTATTATAATCGCTTTATGATTAATGACACGCTTTTGAAGGGATTTGCCCTCAGGAAAAGATTGAAACGTAGGAATAGAAAGAAACAAAGTAAAACATAGCTTGAACTGACAGGTTGCATGTGAGCCATGTTTACTTTTAGTATTGCTAGATGCATTTCCTCTTTTCGCTTCGCTCGCTCGAATAATACATTAGGCAGATATCATTTGTCACTATGCACCCCCTCCCTCGAGGGTTGCCCCCCCCCCCCTCATCCCCATGATTCCTGGCTATGTATTTGCCAGTTGTAGTAGTAGTAGTAGTAGTACAACAAATAAAGAAGTAGTATAACAATAGGAATAAATCATAACAATAATAACATGATCACAACCGCTTTCGAAAAATCAAGTCAGGGGCGATTTTAATACTCTACTAGATTATGTTCGGATTACGTACTATGTCAATTTAATGTTCGCACATTTCAAATGGTGATGGGCAATACTATTGAAAATGCATTTAACTTTTCGGAATTCATTTACATGCTGTATTTCTAATACAAAGGTTGTGCCTCCACCCCTTCTGGCGTCGTTGGGAATATGCTTGGTGGAATGTGTTTCAAACGACTCAAACTATCTCTGAAAGGCCTTTGCGGAGCCATCATTACCGGTGGCTGTTTCACGCTTTTCATTTTGGGCATGTTTTTCGTCGTTAGCTGCGACACGTCACCCATTGCTGGTCTGAATACCCCCTATCCAGACGGTACTGAAATGATTGGCAGGTATGTAGCCTACTGCGGAAAGGAAGACCTTTGACAGCCTGTGAGCCAAACGTCCAAATTGTCCTTGGGGTGGTAGTCCTCGGGGGGGGGGGGAGGGGGTAATTGTCCCGCTGGTAATTGGCTGGGGTCATTGTCCAGGGGGTAATTTTCTGAAAACCGTGCCCCTGATAGCCTTTTTATTGATTGATTTCCATTTCCTGAACAACAGTGTCATTCTAAAATAATTTCGGAAGGATCACCATGCTCAGCTGTGCCTTTAATAGTTATCATTGCAGCACAACTATGAATAATTATAGAGAGGGTTCCTAGTGTTAATGACACAAACAAACGGGAGAACATTATAATATCATATCATATCAGCTATTAATACAACATAACAAACGTTTTAAAATCTATTAATATGTCCCTAACCACTCAAAACAGACCTCGACCCCACCCGCCTTACATTTCTTATGAGTCAATTTGTCAAATAATTGTATTTTTAAAGGAATCACATTTTGATGTGTGTTCATTGATTGTCCTCACGAATATATTGTAATTTGGAGATAAAGGTTGAAAGATAGGAAAACATTCTACGGACATGATTTGGTACGTGGTTTCGGTAAAGAAGATTCGAATAGAAAATTAAAAAATATTGATGAATAAACGAAATGAAATGAATTATTTTAAGTATATAAGGGGCACTGAGATGATGAAGATTTTCAAAGACCGCTCAATTATTATGTTTTGAACGACGACAATAATCGTTGCGCATTGTCATGTGACACCCGTGAGGTAAACTTAAACAAAAATATTTTCCTCCTTTTGATTATATCAGGGATGTGCCAATTGCGTCTTGTATGAGTGGTTGCACTTGTCCGGTGGGCGTGTATACTCCCGTCTGTGGATCGAATGGGATTACATACGTCACACCATGTCACGCTGGCTGTAAGGATCAAAGTTTTGATGATGATAGCGACCAGGTTAGTTATGCAGATTAATTAATGTCGAGTGGTTGACTGGAGATACAGGGGTCGTTGGTTCGAGTTTCGGTGGTGCACTAGTCTTATATGACAAGGCATTGAACTATATTTACTTGATTAACTTGATTTTACTTATGTGCTTTAGTGTGTTTAGCGTCATTTAGCAATTCCGAAGGATCGGCATGATACCCACTATGTTTACCCCCTTTTCTACGCCAAGTGCCCCATCCCTTGAAATTCATCATAAAAATTGCATATAAAAGTACCAAACTACCAAAAAAGAATATATTTAATAATTATACACAATGGTCTTCACTGTCTTTCTACACTTTTTGGTTCTACTGTACGGAACACTCTTCTAAATGATATAAGACATGTTACAAGCCATAGAAGCAATTGCAAACCATTACAGACATTTCTACTGGTCGAATTTGTTTAACTAAATTATTGTAATGCCGATTATCTGAAGCTGTAAGATGAAGCTACATGGTTTGATTATAATTCTCTTTATTTGTACGTAATATATATATGTTCCCTGAAAGATATGAAAATTAGCATGTTACTATTTATTAGCTCCAGTTAACCACATAGTATGAATGTATATTGTTTTGACTGTACTATTTTTAGTTGATATGTCAAGGCATTACGGACGACGTTGTCTCGTACGATACTGCATGTATTTCTTGACATTAAAACAAAAATCCTGTATACGCCAATGGTTGCAACAGTATGAAACTATAAGACAAAGCTAACCATATGGCACAAAATAAGTTGTTCATCCCAATAATCACAACATTATGCTGTGTGTCTGATTCCAGATGATATACTCCAACTGTTCATGCATAGGATCAAATGCGTTCCTGACCACCCCGGCATACGAGGATGACACATCTGTACCTGAAAAATGTTCTACTTCCTGCACTACCAAGAAATACGGCTTCATTGCCCTCCTTGCTCTCTTGTTTTTGTTTTATGCTTTCTTGAATGTTCCTTGTTTTATTCTATTCATTAGGTGAGTATTAAAGCGAGAAAACATAAAATGAGCTCGAGCAAACCGCATTTTAAAGTGGCCACGCTTCGTCTCGTGAGGCTCCTAGCTCCGCATCGTCGAACCATGGACCTATTACGGATGGACATTCAACATGATTCTTTCTTTGATCCAATGATAGTCACCGCCTTTTGATTATGTGCATCTTAATGAGAACATGCAGCTGTTTTAACAATAACGACTGCGTAAGCATTTTCGGTCATCGACAAAGGAGCAGTTTCCCTCTCTTGGGTTTTGTTTGGAAGGTGTGCTCTGTAAGAGTATGTCTTCAATAAAAACATCCCAAATGGGGAGCAGCAAAGATGAAAAGCAGACGATTTTGGTGATATGAAATGTATTATTACTGATTCGCAAACTTTCGCACACACCTATGACCTTATAAAACAATTAGAAGGCCATGATCTGTATCAGCCCTGTGCGTTGTAACTCTGGAATATTATGAGGAAATAAGGGGAAACGGGATTTTAAATCACAACCCCAAAAAAAAAAAATAACCTCTATCTGGTAATATTAACATGTTTTTCAAAATAAAATGCATGTACAGTACACAGAACAACAATTTTTGATTATAAGCCAGAACTGCACATCTATTTTTCATGATTTAGGCGAGTTATTATCTTCTGCGCATGTAGATTAACAAGTGTAAATCAATATCTTGATTCTGTCCCGGCTTTTTGGCGGTGACCATCATGAGATCAAAGTGAAGAAACATGTAGGGAATGTTATTGAGACGACTTTGACGGAGACAATCACAATGAATTCGTTAAGAAAACGATGAATGTCCATCCGTAATAGGTCCATGGTCGAACTCACACCCAGTCGCGTACAACACATAACCTAGGAGACATAATGATGCTATCAATTCACTAATAACGGCGCGGTCAAATGAAAAAAAAAGATGCAATAATCGATCACACTTATATCATACTTTTCAATTATCGCTTTCACAGAATTCACCAGGAAATACAAACAATCACCAAGGGCATCGAATTCAGAGGTTAAATGTTGTTTGATAAGGAGTTTGGGATTTCTTCATAAGGTTATATGTCAACGCGACCACCTTGGCAGTGCGGTTCAGAGGAGACTCACACAGACCTGGGAACGTGACCACTCTACAGTGTGATTTGCTCAAGCTAAAAATTGTATACATACGGTCAGGCCTGCATACGGTTATTACAAATTGCGTAGCGTCACCCAGTAGGACACATAGCCCATGATGGCCAGTTTGGCCACAAAAAGTTAGCTGAACAAAAAGATACAAAAAAAAAAGAATAAAAAGAAAGGGAGGGACATTAACTCCAACTTTAACGCCACAAAGACAGAGAGCTATGAGACCCCTCTAGCGGAGCGCCTCGACAGAGGAACACCTCCGTCGAATGGTGTTTGTTGTGATGAAAGCAAACTGATTAAGAACAAAGATTCCTGAACGCAAATCTGGCACAATTTACTATGTTTCATAAAAGTACGCTCACATTTTACCCTTGGAAATATATCAGGTTACCCTAACCTTTTTATTCATTTCCATTTCTTTCCTTTCAGGACAGTAGATAATAAGGACAAAGCGGTTGCTTTAGCGTTCTCGAGCTTACTCCAGAGAGTTTTAGGTAATAAATCCCGCCAAATATTTCTTACGCATGGGGACCGTATACAAAATATTAAAAAAAAGATACTGGCTTTAAGCTTTTGTGCTGAAATTATTATTTGTATCTGACCTCGGGTCCAAGTCTCATCTTAGTCCCAGAGAACTATGATGTCACCATAACTTGCAATGTCGTACAATAGGCCAGTTCGTAGATGCTACATGCGCATTGGAATTATATAGAGTTAATTACTGTCAAACCCACCGAGAGGAATTGTGAAACGTATTCATGAAAGTTACGTAATCAATATTAGTTGTAATAGACAAGTGAGAGTAGTATTTCCAAGCGGGCAAGTAAAAGGTATTCAAGAAGCACCTCCATGACTTTGGCAGTGATTATTCTAAACTGGACAAAATGAGACTTTTCTATATGATTAAAATGTCTGTGGATATTTGGTGTCATGTGTATCATGTGCAATCTACCAATTGGTGATTAAGTCGTAAACTCTTGACTGCTTGTATCCATCCTAACATTGCAACACATCGGTAACATTACTATGTTTTCTCTTTCCGTTATAGCATTTATACCGGCTCCGATCTTTTTCGGTGCGGCCATTCAGACTACATGCATGATGTTTCAGGAATCCTGTGGCATTACTGGAAACTGCCTCGTCTACGACAACATTCGCTTATCACGTGTTATTATCGGACTAGTCTTAATCTTTAAAGTCATGGCTTTGATCATGTACACGATCTGCTACTTTACGATTCGACGAAATGAATCAGGGGTACGGGGTTTCATATATTTCCTTTTGTATGGTTTATCATTCACCTTATATTGGTAGATGCATTAAAAAGCACGAGAATCGCTGATTTTTAAAAAATAATATCGATAACAATACCAATAATGATAAAACATTGAGCAATGGTAATGCGTCTTATCATTCTGCCGAAATTGACACTCGTCGTGCAATTATAATACATGTATGGTATAATTGTAGGCAAACAATCCGTAAAGTAAATTTAAGAAAAAAGAAAGCAGACAAACGTAAGTGGTTGGATATTGTCTTTGTAACAGAAAGATACGGTCAATTCAGATAATAGTATTTCAGTTATCACGTTCTAGATAGGATTATAGCTCCGCTGTAGTGGCATGTTTTGTGTGGAATGTTTTTTCTTCTTTCTAATTAATTTAGTTTCGGTGGTTCTTTGTGTTTTATCGTAGGATATGCATTAAACGATCGGTGATCGAAATTGACATTTTCCCCCAAGATATAGATTTTGTTTAGCCTATGACAAATATAAACATCTTAGTAATATTCATTGTTTGTCAATTAACATATTCTTTAGAAATTATTGTTGTGAAGTAATGGATAATGACATTCTTTCTCCAACATATACCTTTTATCCCTCTCCAGGAGTACACATATCTCCAACTTTGCCAACAAGAAACACCGGATGACACCAAGTCAGCTGAATCCGCTATGTGTACCATTCCATATGAGACCACAGTTTAAAGGCCCACTGTACTACTCGTAGCTACTTGCTCCCTCTATATAACAAACAATGTCTAATCGGTGACCAATGGTCCCCCATGGTCTTCATTTTATTATGTTAACTGAGAGCTGATTTGATTATATAACCATCTGTCCAGTGACATTGCAGGGTGGTCTTATCCCTCCTGTACCCTAGTACAGATGGGCTTTAACCCGGTGCAACCGGCCACAACTGTTATAATTGTTGAATTGAAAACAAACATAAAAACACATACAAATTAAAGTTCCTGTTTTTCATGAAAACAAAATATGAGATTGGATTAGGGAGCAATGAAGTTCAAAGATTTTTGCTTTTGTTTTTGTTTTTGTTTTTTGGGTGACTTCTCTCACATTCCCTTACTTTTCGACCGCCGGCATAAGGAGTAACCCATTTCCCACGTTTTCCTGAATTCCAGGATATACTGGTGGTTGAAAATTCGCACAGTCGTGTGATGTCCCTCCGATAAAAGAGTAGAAAATAAGACGTTCATGGTTAAACATTTATTTTTTGTAACTAAATTTTCACAAGAAAGAAAGGAAGTTCCGAAACAATCTTTCAGAAAAACAAAAACGATGTGAATGATAATAAAAATGATAGTTATAGTAATAATAATAATTATACTACTTATGCTACTACTAATAATACTAATAATAACAATAATAATACTTATAATAATAGTAATTTATAATAAATAATAAATATAATGAATCAGTATGCAATGTCCGACGTATAAAAAGGATTCATTTGTAAAACACATCAAAAATGAATTAACGTTAATCATCCTAATCATCCTGATCATAGTATTTTTCCTTTTAAAAGATATATCGCAGACAAACATGTTGTCATCAAAGTTGATGCAAAGCTGCCCGTTATTAATACCAAAGTTACGTTTCATTTCAGTGTGATTAAAAAAGAAGGATACTAATCGTTTTTCTATTCCTGCTTTATATCATATTTTGCAGTGTGTAAGGTAATGATGTAATAAATAATGATGTCCATGTATTGTATATATTGAACAAGATTTTGCTTTGCAGTTATACGATTTAAAGTGGTGTTATATTGCTACAAATAAGCTCGTCTACTTAGCGGTTATCTATAAAAGAAACCCTGCAGGTGATATCGACTGACATAAAATAACAACGCAAACATATTTCCAAAGATGAATCCACGGTTAATCACTAAATCCTGCATTCGTTATCGATGAAAATCACTAGCAATGAAAATGGATTTTAAAAGAATATATTTGAAAAGGCGATAAATTTGATTAATTACTTTAATTATTGAAAAATAAATTAAATCGTTTGCCCATAATTTTAAATGTCCTGTCTTGTTCCTTTTGTTTCAATTCATATTTGTATTTAAATATATGTCCGACAGACCATTAAATCATTAAACAATAACAAGGAATTGACTTTCACAGACCCCGATGTCAATCGAGTGGACTATACATTAAATGATGTTGGTAGGGTTTTGTATTGTTATATAGTAGTTAGTAGATGTAATGGTCAAAAGCTCTTATCTCTCTTTTAACATTTTATACATATTTCTAAATTGTATATCGGATATGCGTTATAACGCCTATTAGTAAAATCATCTGCAACTGAGTTGTGCATAGTCTATTTTAATAATCAATTTTTATCAACAAAAAATGTAGTGCTAGAAACTATATTGTAAAGTAGCTAATTGATTAAATATATACATACTTATCTTTGAGTTGTACAATAGTCTTGCATTTTTGTTTTCTTGTCTATGTTTTTGTAGCATACACGCGTAATAAAATTTGCAGGAAATTATGTCCTGAATAATTGTTAGTATATACTCAAAGTTCAATATTTAACAATATATGTGATGCCTTGTTCCTACAAACAGTATGGTATAATATTGTGTCATTATTAACAATGCAGTAATGATAAATATATGACATAGATGCAAATTAAGTTCTGAATCTGAGACCATGTCAAACCATATCATAGTCTCTGTTATTTACCAAATACAGCACAAAAATGCCTTACAAAATGATTTTAATGCCGTCAGAATTCAATGTGATCGCCACTTCTTCACACCCTTTATTACAATGTATATACATTCTAGTGTAATTAGAAAACAAATTAAGATGTGAAGTAATTTCTTTCAAGTGAGATCATGCCAAATCACAAATTATATATTACAATAATTCATCTTGTTGATTGAATACAGATTTACAAAAAACATTTAGATATGTTTTAGATGCACTGGATGTTAAATGTGAAAGAGTGCTTTTGCACTCAGTGTCTCTCTAAGAAGACATGCTGGTAAATTGTCTTTTCCATCGGCTGCTGCAAAACTGCGGAACCAGCTACCTACTGCTGTGCAGACGGCCTCATCTGTTGACCAGTTAAAGAAACTACTCAAGTCATATCTATTCTGCTAGAAATGACTTTATTACCAGCCTACATACTTTACTGATCTCTGACAAGTGTCTAACTTTTGTTTTTACGTGGCCCAAACATTGTGCAGCGTGTGTGCAGCGCTTTGTAACTGCAGGGAAAAGGCGCTATATCAAATATCTTTTGGATGGATGGATGCACAACCTCTTTTTATAACCCAAACTATATTATATTTGAGGGAATTAAAGTTAACATTTAGGTGTAAAGTAAATCCCTAAAGTGAGACCATACTAAACCATTAATTCTATAAGACATTAATTCTGCTTTTCATTAACAAAAACTCTACAAAATTGTATTTTGAAAATGCTTAAATTTGGAAAAAATTAATGTGAACACCGCTTCTTTATGCCTTTTCCTATTCAAACTACATATATTTTATTGAATTCAATACAGAATTCAAATTATGAAGTAACCTCATCAATGTTCAGACCATGCCAATTTTTTTTAAATTTTTTTATAGCATAAACTATGTTTTTTTCATCAAAATTAGCACAAAGTAGTCTTTTAGAAATGCTATTGAATACGCCAGATAATACATAAACATCGTTTCTGCACGCAGTATCAAAGTCAACCTACATTTTGATGCAATCGAGACCCTGCCAAACCGTAAGCATCATTCTATACCTTAACTTCTGCTGTTCAATACAGGACGAAACGCCTATCAAAATGCTTAAATATCTCATGACCTAGAAATGAATATGAACACTACCATGTACTCCATGTCCTTTCCTACCCAACCTGAGATGTGATGTAAGTCCCCTGATTAAGAACCAAACTAAAAGATGGGAGGTAAATAAGGTAAGACTGTGCAAAACCGTATTGTGTAAATGACTGCCGTTTTTCACCAAAAAGAAATATATTATAAGCCTATCTTTCAAATTGCCTCACATATTGCGCCACTATAAATTAATGTGAACACCGCTTTTCACGCCCTTTCTTTCCCAACCTACATTGTGATGTCAATAAGAACAATACTAAGATATAGAGACACATCACGTGAAGATGATTATGGGCGGTACGCATGCGCACATGGGCGATCTTCAAAGAGGAATAAAGCTACATCGAACGATCATAATATAGCTAATTTTCGTCCCCTACCAGGCCATTTCAGCAACGTTGACGGCGACCGGAGCGATCTCATACCTTACCATATGGTTGATTCCTGGTCCATCGTCTCCCGAATTCAGCTGAAGTAGAAACATTTGCTTGAAGCATTATTCCATCTTTCAAAGTTGCCCATTTTTACCAACCCTGCCGGAACATTAAATATCTCGCGATGCTGTGCACGATGAAGGCAAATTCGGCGAGAATATATCTGTGGGCATCTCTTGTGGTCCTACTGGTTTTTCTTACTTGGGAAGGACCAAGAGGCGGGACCTTTGTAGGAGCCGATACTCCTGCAAACTGCAGCTTTGAAGAGATCGAAGGAAGATGGAAGTTTCTCATGGGCCCGGTAAGCGTCGCATTCATTCCCTTGTTTCCTAAGAGCTATTATATTGTATTAGTAAAGGTTTCCAAAATATTAGTAAAGATATAGATAGCTTCCAAAAATGTATTGACTTGAAATCCACAAGTAAAGCTACGGGAGGATAAAGAAAAAGAAGACAAGAGAAAAAAATATGCGTAAGCCAGTAAGATTGAGAAATGCTAACTTTGTTTCATCTATGAATAGTGACATACTCACCTAAAGGATGAAAAATCACAGCTCCTAGTGTGGTCATACACATCAGATGAACACTTGTTTGGCTTTACAAAAAAGCTTATTATGAAAATGAAAAATAATTTAATAACGATCTTTTGGAATTGTACATATACATATATATGCATGTTATATATAGATTACTTTCATTTAACGCAAATATGTTTATACATAATAATTTGTTAAGTATTTTAAACCTTGTAGTAGACTGAGAGTTCGTATTCGCTCATATCAATCGTTCGGTGACATGTTTATGACATACCTAACTGATAAACGGAGCATCAACCTGCAAACAAATATATTTATATGTAATTTACGAAAATAATTCTAAGCTTTAACAATTCGTAAAAATGCCTTATATATTATATGATAAACAGTACATGTCATCAACATTAAATCAAATTATACTCTAAAATGTACGCTCTAAATGTTATAAAGTAATTTCAAAAGTCTTCTTCTAGTTTTCCCTATTTCATCGTTCCAGGTAAGCCATTTTATTGCATATGCGTGTACGTCTTGCACATCAACGTCGATGGAAAATATAAATAGCCAACATTGTTAACATATGGCATTTTGTGCGGTTCTTTGACAGAGTACTGAGAACAGCCGAGTTAACTGTTCGATGCCCTGGAAACCCGTGAAGACCTGGATTGTGAGTCTTCGATTTCCTGACCTTGCAATCGATGAAACTGGTAAGTTCCTACAATTTAGCTTATATCTTTATTTTCATTACAAACGTTACGATCAACTAACGGACTCTTAATTGTTATTTCGAGCAAGTATGGCTAAAGGTGCCCTGGGACGTTCTTTGATTCCAAAAGGCGCGACCGGATTAAATAGCCATATTTGTGTTTTGTTTGTTTGAGTTTTATGAGCCGTCCCTCTTCCAGCAATAATACAGACCATCAATCCGAAATAGTGACCGGCCTGACGAGATAATTATCTACGAGTCTGCCATTCAATTCAACATTATCTCGAAATAATAAATTGATTAGAGAATGATGATGATGAATTAATGTTGCCTCTTGTAATATTGAGACAGGAGAAGGGAAGGTTGACACTTTTATAACATACCTAGGCCTATGTGAAAATGTTTGTGGTATGGTGGTGGTTGCCCTCTGTTCTGTTAATCCTCAAAACTTCTTCCTCATTATATGAACCATTACAAATCCAAAAAGTATCAATAATTTACATAATTATGGTAAAAACTATCTGAAGCAATGAAAAAAAGGGTAGAATGATGTTCTATGGGCATACCTTTACACGTGTTTGGTGTATAATTCCATTCAAATAGTTTAATAATAACGAGGATGCGATTGTAATTATGTTTTGTAAGCTTGATTTCATACTATAACAAAGTGTACATATTCTTAAAGAAAGCGATAAATAATGTGGAAGGCTATGTTTTATTTTCTTTTCCTTTTTTTAAATATGTCTTGTTAGACATGTTACTGTAGATAAATGTGTACTTAGCATCCGAATTAAAATGTGTGAATGACATAACACGCTCTAATTAACCCAGAAGCAGAAAAGGCGTGTGCTGTTCAATATTATATTCGAATATTCGAAACTTTACCGGAGATGTAAATGCGCTGCAATATAAGTACTTTACTCGTTCTTTTTCTACTCGTATCCTGTTTCATCATTTTGTTTTCGCCTCAATCATTTTTCTTTATTTTTTCTCTCTTAACAATGCTAACATCCTATCCTTAAGCTATTTTGCCTTCTTGTCTTTACACCATTCTCCCGCCATTAAACTGTTTTATCATCTCGTTTCCGCTTCATAACTTTTTCATTTACCGTTCCTCTTGTTATTTTTTCATCTCTCGGCCCTCTCATCTTTTCACTATATTCCCGCTATCGTCTATTTCGGGCAGAGTGAAGGAGGGGATGGTCGCGCTAATCTGGTTGGTTATCGAATACAAAAATGACTCGTGTCATTTTTTAAACAATGCTCATTTCCCCCTCTCTCCTCTGCAATAAATGTCCATTTCAGCTGTCTCTCTCTCTCTCTCTCTCTCTCTTTCTGTCACTCTCTTGGTCATCTGATTAGGAGAAGGGAGTGCACAAGCCCCCTTAGCACTATTTGTACTATTATCCATTTCTAAGGTTAATCATAAGCGTTCTGCATTTAATATATAGTCAGTACTGCCCTTTGATATTCACCACATGGAGTGGTATTTACCCGATAAAAATTAGGCATTAGTATCACCATTAAAATGTAAATTTCACTGTGATATATACATACCAATTGTTCAAAAGAAGAAGAAGGGGGAAAAGGACAAAACGAAGAATTATCTGTATTTACTCCATCTTTTGTCCTGTCCTGTTTATTACGTCTGTATAATCATGATAAACCAAACAATTCACTTCATCCCTTCCCTGTGAGTCTATTCTCTATTTTCCCGCCCTCACCTCTATCCCAACCCCATCTCCGCCAATTTCATGATCATCATATTCTGCATCACTCCTCAGCGACCAGGGCAGTGTCAGCCAGAGCGTAAAGTTGGGTGGAGGTCATTCGGAACCATTCGTCTACGGAGAACGCCATATGCTACGCTAAAAGCAATAGTTACAGGGTCGCGCAATCTCTCCGCTTTCATAGCAGGACTACCATTAATGAAATTGCAGGAGACAGCGAAAGAGAGTGTTCATATTATTCCTTAATCACGTGTCATAAATTGTTTTAAAAGTTCAAAAATGATATAAAGATATTAGCCTGTTGAAGGCATGTTAATGACAGCCCGATTAAAAAAAGAACGTTTGTATTAATATGTTTTAGAGTATGAATTGGAATTAAAGTTTCTTCTAAATGAAAAGGAACGAATAGAAAAATTATCATGCATGCTGCAGTTTTTCGTTTCTTAACACATTTATCAACATTGGATATCACAAATTGCTTTCAATGATTTTAATTGTGGTCATACAATCATGTTCCGAGAAAGTTCTAAAGCAAAATCTTAAAAATTGCGCAGCTAATCATAATTATATAATCGGATTGGGAAAAATGAACGTAAGATGGTTAAAAATAGAATAAAAAGTTTAGGTAGAATTAACAAGGTGGAATATGTACATGTATGCTAAAATATCAATATATACAGATATTGAATTTTTCATATGTCTATACAGACAGAGAAAGAAAAAGAGAGAGAGAGAGAGAGAGAGAGAGGAGAGGGAGAGAGAGAAGAGAGAAGAGAGAGAAAGAGAGAGATGGGTCGGGGTGAGGTTACCTAGAACATTACAGTTGGAAACTATATCAATAACTACTAAAGGAAGCAAAAAAAAAAAACGGAGATACTATGGAAAAAGCCAAAGTAAAGACAAAGACAAAGAAAAAGCAGGAGGAGGAGAAGGAGAGGGGAAAAAAAGTAGAGGGGCTTATTTCGAATTTAAAAAAAAGGTTGTAGAGGGAAAAAGTATCTCTAACAAATATGATAGATTTGTATTAGTACATTAACTACGAAAATTTTCGAAATTACATAATTTTTGTTAAATGACAACTTAGTGTATACACCCTTATCCACATCTGGAATAGATAGCATATCATCGAGAGAGCCCAGAAAACTGAGCTCATAATTATAACGGTTGGCGCAGCGGGTAGACCCAGCATCGTGAATTAATTGCCAGGCCGTCATGTCAGGCGTAAAACGACAAGTCAACCTCAATTGCTTTGTACGAGGTCCCTATCAGATAACATCGCATCTTGACAGAATTTGAGGGGGTGTGTTATGACGGCGAATATGTGTTAATCGTGTGTTAAACATGTATTCAACATTTTATACAATTTTTGTCTGATACATGTACATTCATGTTCACCTGAAAACACTAAAACAACGACTTTTAAAGAATCGATTTATAAATGGAATTTAAAAAGCCTTGTGTGTCACCTATTCAAATGTGTAAGCATGCCAAGGACATGTTATGTATTCCGTAATTTATTTAAATGGGCTGTACAAGTTGTATTAATTCGCCCTTTAGCTGATATACCCGACTCTCTTGGAAAAACCTACGACAAATATACGATAGGTCGCATCCTTGACGTACATCTTCACATGATCTTCCGCTTTCATTTCACTAAAGGTCGTGTAACGCGACCACCCGATCGGACGCGATAAGCCGATGATTCAAAGTAAGCCGGGGCGCCAAATTATTTTCACCACAAGTGTTCCGGACCCCAGAATGAACTCATTTACATACAGCCAATCAGAGGAGTCTAGCTACAGGGGGGGGGGGGGGGGAGGGGGGGTGTGAAGGCGATCGAGAAAATATAAAAGTTTGTTTGTATAATGGGCGTAGAAGTACAGCTTTTCGCTTAAATCGGTAAGAATTACTTTAAATTTCGGCCCTGCATATTATCATGGTGTCTTTGCCAAAATTGGGTCAGGATAAATTTCTAAGTTATTATCATCTCCAATTCAAATACAGAAATGATAAATTTCCGGGTTATGTTTGTTTGAGAAGAAGGGCGTGGTTCGTACTACTTCATTCACGCTGTTAATGGTGATACATTTCCATCACTACCCGGACAGTTTATGTTTCACTTAAACATTTTGTTGAGATGAAGGGCGTGGCTCGTAATACTTCATTCACGCTGCTATAACATTTCCTTGACTCCAGGGACAGTTCATGTTTCAGTTAAACATTTTTGTTAAGTTGAAGGGCGTGGCTCGCTAAACTCCATTAACGCTGCTAATAATGATAAATGTCCTTGACATCACGGACAAGATGAAGGGCGTCGTTCGCTCAACTCCATTTACGCTGCTAATAATGATAAATGTCCTTGACCTCACGGAAAAGATGAATGGCGTGGTTGGCTAGACTCCATTCACGCTGTTAATAATGATAAATGTCCTTGACATCACGGACAAGATGAAGGGCGTGGTTGGCTCGACTCCATTAACGCTGCTAATAATGATAAATGTCCTTGACATCTCGGACAAGATGAAGGGCGTGGTTCGCTCGACTCCATTTACGCTGCTAATAATGATAATTGTCCTTGACCTCACGGACAAGATGAAGGGCGTGGTTCGCTCGACTCCATTCACGCTGCTAATAATGATAAATGTCCTTGACATCACGGACAAGATGAAGGGCGTGGTTCGCTCGACTCCATTCAAGGTGCTAATAATGATAAATGTCCTTGACAACACGGGCAAGATGAAGGGCGTGGCTGGCTCGACTCCATTAACGCTGCTAATAATGATAAATGTCCTTGACATCATGGACAAGATGAAGGGCGTGGTTCGCTCGACTCCATTTACGCTGCTAATAATGATAAATGTCCTTGAAAACACGGGCAAGTTGAAGAGCGTGGTTCGCTCAACTCCATTCACGCTCCTAAAACGATATATTTTCTTGACTTATCGATTTTTTTTTTTTGATTTTTTTTTTATAGATAAAGGGCGCAGTTTGCAAGTTTCCATTCAAGCTGTTTCACCATACTCGTTTTCCCCAATAGACTGTAGTGTTATGAACACCGTTTGGTAAACGGTTTTCATAATTTGTAATTCCAATCATAAATATCTTGATAATCAGACAGGCGATCGGCTTGTAAAAGTCATGGGGTTCCTGACTGACCTGAAGGTTTATAATTATCATTGCAGCATGAGCTAAATCCAGGATTTTGTTTCAGAATCTGAAAGTAAACATTGGAAAAGAGCCGAGTCTTTCACTTAATAGCTTTGAATGCATCCATTTGGTGGCTTGTTGACAAGTTATGTCATTCAAGTGCTCAGTGCTTAGTTTATAGATATATAATCTGGGTCAATTTCTATCTTCCCCATCTCTCCTTTTCTTTCTTGGTTTTCTTCTGCGTTTGTAAAAGTACTTCAATCAGTAGATCTATATAAACAAAATGGACTAATTGGAATAAAAAACGTGGCGTTAACCTTAGAATATACCTTCGCTGCCCACAGTATGGCTTTTATATCTCCATGGCATTTTATAATGTGTTATAACAGTTATAATAGGTATCAATTAGATTTTGCTGAATACAAATAATACTGATACCTCAATAAGAATTGCTCAGTACAATAATGTGTCAATATCAGTATTGTTATTTCGTTTATATCGTCTTATACAACTCACTTAAGGCTTTTAAGTTTCATGTTGATGTTTGTTGTGAAATATAAAATGAACTTAATGGAAGTAAACTTTAAATGCATATTCCAAATGGATTACCGTTGAATCTTTGTGGATGGTTAACTTAAAAATTGTCACTAACCAACCTCCGGTTCTTTTTTTCGTTGGAAAAGAAAAAGAAAAACAATCAAATAAATAAAGGTATCCTGCAGCAACAACCTCTTCATATTCTAACCCTACTTCTTTAATTCCTCTACGACTCTAGTTGGAAGAACCGGCTTTTGGACCCTCATATACAACCAGGGCTACGAAGCGGTGATCCGCAACCGCAAGTTCTTCGGCTTTTCCGACTTCGAGAAGATCTCAAAGAAGAAGGTCATCAGCTACTGTAATGTCACCATCGGTTGGTCTCATAATGACGATGGGGGAGACTGGGCCTGCTTCAGAGGTGAACAGATCATGCGATTCCGCGACACCGGTACGTCTCCCGTCAAGGTCAACAACCTTGACGAGTCTGCAACGCAGTTCGATGAAAACGCCATTCACCGAAGGAACGACAAGTTCATTGAAGGTAATGGGCGTAAAGAACATCAGGGGGCGTTTCACAAAACTTGTCATCAGTGACAAATGATAGGTTTTGTTATAAGCTACTGAAATCCTTGCTTCTGATTGGTTATCAGCAGATTTGTAACTGATTTTTTTTAATTTGTCATTGAAAAAAGGCTTTGTGAAACAGGCCCCTGATCTTTAAGAGGACCAAGTTAAGTACTGTAATGTAACCCATACTTCAGTTGGAAGAAGTCTCTTGATTTGATAATAAATCCATATTCTTCATCTTCTATTTTTATGTTGCATTTTATCCGGCAAAAAAGAAAATCGTATGTTTCCTTCAATTCCATTTAGACTACAGTAGATCTATTCTTAAAAGTACTTTTCCCAGGACAGTAGTTCATTTTTTCCAGATAATATAAAAAGTAGTTGAAATCGAAAAGCAGAGCAATGCAATAAGGCATCGGTATTGTGGTCTTGTTTCACTTTACATGCTTCAGGGTGTACGTTATAAACGACTTTTCACAATATTATTCACTAAGACATACCATGCGTGCTTTGAAGAAGAAGAAAAGTTGTTTGTATATATATGCAAACGATATCAAGGTATTTTGATGTTATAATGACCTATAACAAATGCAAGAATTCAAATTATCCAAATAGATGTCTGTTATAAATGATATTGTTACATAACGATGTTGTTTTCTCTTACTTAGTATGCGGGTTCTGTTACCTTAATGTACTTCATTACATAAACTCTGAGGACTATGCGACATTCGTGTAGATTATCGATGATACCACAATAATTCAACAATCTGTATTCATTACTGCTTCCAGGCATCAACAAACACCAGGATTCTTGGAAGGCCACCTACTATGACCGCTACGTAAACCTGACCCTCGGGGATATGAGACGCAGGGCAGGTGGCAAGCTCTGGAAGCGTGTATGGCCCGACGTTTCCCCGACAGACGAACGCACTAAACAAGGTAGGAACAAAGAACCAATACGTCTTTTGGATAATCATATTGAAGGCAATTTCATTAGCCTTGTACGTAAACTATGAATGTGCGAACAGTTAAATGACAAACTACATAACTGGAACAAGAATTATCAAGGCAGTAGGCCCTATAATTGGATATTGTCCGTATTAAGGTGAATTCTTTATCATATTGCCATGGCTTGCATGTAAACAAACCAAAACACCCAAATCAAACCCTTAGGAAAGCTAGTATTGGACATTATATGCCTCTATTTAGTATGTTGAATAAATCCAGTCATCCGATTGGTCGAAATTGGAGTCGCGATTTCAGCCATGCCCGCCTTACGGTCAATAGTTTTGAGAAAGATGCCCGTTGCCCCGGGTAACGGGCCGCATAAATACATTTTGCTCAAATCCCTATTGGTTTACGTGTAAAAAGTTTCTTTGTGCGAGCGCGGATACAAAATACAGTGCATTGTGTGTGCGATTCCCGAATGGTCGTAACATTCAGCAACTTTCCAGCGAAGCTGTACCGACAGTGTTTGATATTTTCTGTAATGTTTTAACCAGTCTTTACTCAAGAAGAAGAATGAGGTAAACATTCTTTGTAGATTTTTTTGGGGGTGCATTCGGTATATAAAAGATATATGGACTGCTTAAATATTCGAAGCATTGCTGTTTAAATGCGAATTGCATACATTCCGTGTTCGTAAGTTAGGGCAAGCCATAATATTCGCCCTATCTAGCAACTATCAATGTACGCAATTCGCATTATATTACAATTAGATTAGTTGTAAAAGGTAAATTAAATAATTTGGATCATGCATTAGCACTTAGCAAATATTTATGCATTAAATTTCATAACATTATGAAAATGGTCTATTCGGTATGCTACTGCCCGTTTGGGAGACAGTCATCGTCAGCCTTACACCACTCTAACTTACTTACAAACAAATAATGCCTTCCGAAGAAACCTTCCAAAAATTGAATATAACAATTGGCTGAGGAAGTGGCATTAATTCATTAAAAATGAACGCCTATAAGGAGGAAAAGTGAAAATTGTGATTTTTTAATTTGTGTTTTGCTGTGTCCGACATGTCTGGCACAAAGCAGAGAAATAGGGCACCATTAACTTTAATGAAATTACAGCGCCAACGGAAGTATTTCATGACCCATTATAGTGCCTTGGCGAGACATTGGAATCGAGTTTTAATTTCAAAACGCTTGTGCACTGGCAACCATGGGCGGTAGGGCGTGAGGGGAATTACAATTCGTATTAATCGCCACCCATCAAATTCTCCACAAAATGGGTTTTCCAGATATGGTTATAATGATTTTGATCGGCGTGACTTCATATATTCCAGAAAATTCCAAGGTAACTCGCAAATGAAGATAACTAAATCTATCATAGACAAGCCAAAGTACTGAAGCACAAAAGGTTGAACTCTTTTGGTTAAAACAATAACATTGAAAATGAGTTATCAATTCGGTTTCACTAGGATTTTTTTTCTTGCGTCATTTCTTTTTTGGAGCCCCAAGAGTTTTAACTCTGTATACAGTAATATACGTTAACGCCCTTCTGGCTCCAGACATATGCATTTTACCCATTAATCATGATATCACAAAATCTCGATCGTTACCTTCTTATTCTGGAAATAAATAAATTTACTCAGTAAAAGTCTGTGGTGTATCAATGAATATTATGTCCGAAATTCTCTTACGATGGACCTTATTAATGCATTAACGGTTCCGTAATGGTTTCATATACAGCTCATATATTCCAAAAGTTTACATAATTATAACAAAGTCATCATTATTGCGCTAGTTGCATGAACCCATAATTCATTGCCAGTATGAACTTACAATGTTTTGCAATGTTTAGTATCCCCTTCATAAATGAATCAAAGATTTCATCTATAATCATTCAATGTAAACGTTTTGTTTTGTTTAGGTACCTTAATAGTGGAATAGTTTGGGTTTAAGAGATAACATTATGAATCATTTTTGTTTAAGTTTAAGCTTGGCATAAACGTAAAGTCAGAGGTAGTCCATTTTTACGGTCTGCATGGTTCTGCATAATATCTTACTCATCATCGTTTGTGTAATTCTCCACTTTTAAAATAAAAAAATATGGAAATCAGTGCAGAGCTTCACTGAGCTGCTTTCCGATAGCTAAGATCAAAGACATGAGGAGCTTTTGAAGTTTTAGGGAATATTGGGTATATTTTTTAAAGTTTATTTCAATTTCTATCTCATTTATTTTAAACGTTTGGAGCTGTCAGGGCTACATTTTCCATTATTAGTTTAACTTTTAGATGAGGGTATAACTATTACCAGATTTAATTATAATAGGCTCTCAGAAAAAAATGCATTGATACTGATTTTGCAAGATAATGACTTTACCATGTGGGGGTATGGCTGACAAATGTAAAGCATTACATAATGCCTGTTGGTCATAAAAATGAAGCCAATCCTGGTGACTGACAACAAATGTTATTGGGTAAACACCCGAATGGTGTCGAATTCTCCCTTGAGAGCCAACCTCTATGCGTCATTAATTGTGAATATGATGTTAAAGTAGTATTTAGGCCAAATTGGGAACCCTACGGGGATATATCAACACATATTACTTTATTAAAGCGTATATTGTATGGTGTAATGTATATTATTGTAACTTTACAATAACGACAATATTTAGGGCGCATCTTCAAGCATTTGGAATTTCTGTTTCGCTCCATCGTAACCACTGGGAATATCAAAAGAAAGAGTCATACACGTGTCACATAACAGTCAGCAGAAGTAACACTACAGAGAAATAATGTACCAGCGGATTTGAAAGGAAAAAGAAAAGAAAAGTGAACTCACGTTGTCTGACTGACTGGCTGGCTGGGACGGGACGGAAGGGGCAGTGGTCACGCCATGCTTGAGGTTTTTTTTGATTAACCATCATTGGTGCGCCTGACGCATGGGCAAGCAGCGTACGTTTTAATATTGAAACCTGCGATGCGCAGCCAGGAAGGAATTATGGGCTCATGGTGGGGAAAGGGTCATGTGACAGCTTTGCGAGGGTATTCGCTCTAATCATGCCTGGATATGACTTTCATAATCACGGTTATGTTTCCTCACTGAAAAAGGGAAATGCAGGAAAGATCATTGTAGTCTTCTTTTCGAAGTGGCGTTGAAAATGATCTAGTACGAATATGAAAAAGCATCGAAAATATTCATCGTTGGAATCAAAACACCAGAACATTGTTATCGATGCAGGCACGTATTGATGAAGAGTGATATAGAAGATTCGAAAGGATATCTAGTTAATTAAGGACATTTAAGATTCACAATTAAAAAACTTTAAAAAGGAAACAAAAGCTAAAGTGAGTTAATGAAATATCTCCTTCTTTAAAGCCCCACATGTATATTAATACAAATCATTTTTTGCATAACAAAAGGTATGGCATCGACGAAAGATACATATACATCCCAATAGTTACAAAGTGTAAAGAACTTTGTAGTTTTGGAAAGGCATCTCCCCTTCTCTTAAAAACAAAGAAAAAAGAAACCTTAGTCTCTCTCTCTGTACAAGCTTGATTTTACCATTATCCAATTCAGCCGCTGATTCCGAGTAAATGAACTTTTTAGTCCGGAGGTGGATTGCTCTTATGATACCTGCTAATTCTTACTGAGAAATGACTACTAATTATGTCATGCTCAATCCTCATAGGGCTGATTGACATCCATCTACTGCTTGGAAAATCGGCTTGAGATAATCCTGAAGTATCCTACATTCCTGGAAATCTTTGATTGGGCATGTTTTACCGACTTCACGACTTGGAAGAAGCAAGGGAAGAATATGAGCAAACACACACACACACCCATACACAAGCAAAACATTAGGCAACGCCTGAAACGCCAAAATAACTTAGGGGGAAATTATTAGATCTTAAAACTTGAAAAGCCTCATATCAGTATACCGTACATGTTTATATAGAATACCTTAATATATGAACGATCTAATGGTATTGAGGCAAGGATTTCTCAAGCTAATGAACAAGCTGCCCACTTGCTCTCCGTCGTTATCTTCATATCTCTAAATGAGTTTTTAGAAATATATGGCTGTTTTATTAACTGTCTAATTTTAATCTAGCCTGATTTTTCTTATTACATTTTCTAAATGAATCTCTTTCTGATTTTAGGAAGAGTAACTTATGTTGGTTTAGACATGTAGGTCCTTGGTCTAGAGTTCTCATTTACACTCTAACATCTCTTCCATGTCTTGCATAATTGTTTTTGGAAAGGAACGACAAAGAGGAAGTAGAAGAAGAAAAAGAAAACTCGTCACCCTTTGTTCGACAGCCAATGCCAACCGAATTCCATGACATTTAAACTAATTACGACCTTGTCAGAATGATGGACCTGCAACATTTTCAACATTATCGATCACTTAATAATGCTTCAGGGCTCTTTTCTTCCATACTTGACTTACTTGTGTTAGGATGGAAACTGTTGTTAACGTCATGGTTGTCGGATCACGATTACTTAGCTGTCTATATCTTGGCGACACTCATAATCTCAAGATGTCTTATGTTTACGGGAACGCCGCCATTTAGTAAGGAAAGTTCTAGATCATCGAGGGTTATGAAAAGAAATGTTTCTTCCGGTAAAAATAATAATATAGCAACCTTTTTTCACCGTATGTTATATATTTGAATTAATTTTTAAAATGTAAGCAATGCAAGGCAAAAATTAAAACGTATCTAAAGATAGCGAAGGAAGAGATACAAAAAAAGAGAGAAAAGAAGTCACTCGTATTTTTGTTTGAATACCCGGTATAACAAGGGACGTTTGTCAGAAGAAAAAAGTCCAAGTCCACTGCGAATGCGAAATATCCCATAAAAAATCAATCATTTGCACGATGCTGCTACCAGTCTTTTTACAGTTTTCATACACAAAGTTTCAAGATCCAGGCCTACATGTATTTCAAACGTAAATTGAAGCTAACATTTTAAACTAGCACCTCTCCTATCGTCCTGCAGCGGCCTCTAATCTCCCTGAGAAATTTGACTGGCGTGACGTAGGCGGCATCGACTACGTGTCTCCTGTCCGTGATCAGGGAATATGCGGAAGCTGCTATGCCTTCGCCTCTACAGCCACACAGGAGTCCAGGCTGAGGGTGATGACCAATAACAATGTCAAGGTGGTGATGTCCCCTCAAGAAGTGGTCAGCTGCTCCGAGTATGCCCAAGGGTGCGAGGGCGGGTTCCCGTACCTAATTGCAGGTCAGTGAAGGATAATTGTTTGATCTTATCAGTGTATATCACACGACATGAGATGGAAATACTTTAGAGGACAGAAGAGCCGGGTAGCTGGCTGAAGGAGTGTGAATGAAATAAATGACGAGTTGAATACGTCTAAAAAAATACGTTATTCATTATGTATATGTCTCGATTGCCGCTTTTTTGAAAGTGTTAAAGGCTCTTTTTTAATTTGATGTAATAACGATCCTTGTAGGTACCTTCAAAGAAATAATGACAGAATTGGTCATTTCGGTACTTAACCAATTCAACCGATTCTCCAATTGCATTATTCACAGGGAAGTACGGTCAGGACTTTGGCTTGGTAGACGAGACTTGCTATCCATACCGTGAACGCGACGCACCTTGCCGCCAGGTCTCCTGCAGGAGATTCCGCACCAGTGAATACCATTACATCGGGGGCTTTTACGGAGCTTGCAACGAAGACTTAATGCGCCTGGAGCTCCTCCGCAGCGGACCTCTCGCTATCAGCTTCGAGGTTTACGATGATTTCCTCTTCTACCGCGGGGGTATTTACCACCACGTCCCGATGTACGACCGATTCAACCCTTGGGAGACCACTAACCACGTTGTCACCATCGTAGGGTATGGCCACAAAGGCAACAATCCGAAGAAGGGTGAAAAGTACTGGATCGTTCAAAACACCTGGGGATCGGAGTGGGGAGAGAGGGGCTACTTTAGGATCAGGAGAGGCGATAATGAGTGCAATATCGAAACTCTAGCAGTTGCCACAACTCCACTAACAAATTAGACCCAAACAATAGTTGTAACAACCCCGATTTACATGTGTATTTGGGTCTGAATACAGAAGATGGAAATGTATGGGTTTGACTGAACATCTTAAAACCATTTTCATTACCATTACGAGGAATACTTCTGGAAAAATTTGGCGAAAAAAAAAAAAAAAAAAAAAAGGACATCTGCATTTGGCATACAAAAATAAATCCTATACAATTTTATGATAGCATATTTGTAACGTAAGGAAAAAGTTGTGATAAATTTATATCTTCGTTACCGAGATTTGTTTTAAATTCTTTTTACCAGTAATTTTGAATTACTCTTTTATTTTCCTTGGAAAGTTATTTACACAGAGAATGTAACCACACACACAACTAATATTAATAAGACATTCATTGACAAAAAAACTTTTGTATACCCTATCATTGAATAAACGGCTATCTTTAAAATAATCCCCTATCCATGTTTTCATTTCCGTGTTACGCATGAAACAGGCAAACGTTTGTTAAATATTCGGAGAAGATGATAAAGAAATAGACCCAACTCACTTACATGCAAAAGTATATTAGGATTAAACACATGCATTAACATTTTGAAATATATTACCGTTCAAATGTTAAATAAATTGGAAGTCACATTTAATATTTGTTATAACCATGATAACTAAAACCGGTATATTTTGGTGGAGGGGAACTAGGTGTGTTTTGTGCGGAAATGAGAAATGAGAAAATCTGTAAGGGATACGAATTTCCACTGTAAATGAAACATCTACGTTGCAAATTAGAAAAATACATGTCCAAAAGAGAGTTAATAATACTTTAGTATATCGATGGATTTTTTAAGAGTATAACACAAATTGATTGTAATTCTTGGCTACGGTTTTAACAGAGAAAATGCAGCTTTCGGAAGAAGGCAAAGGTGTGTGAGGCACTAACTTCAGTGATGGTTGAATGTGTATTTTGTGTGATAAAGAGTTATTCTATGTAAATAATAGTCAAATCGATTTATTTGTGATACTGGCATGATAACGCATCACTTCCTTTTAATGTTATTATACCCTAACCTTTCGAACATATACGTGATTTATAATTATTGTCGATGCGTAGTAGATGGTATATACTGTATTAAACGATATTGATAGTTCTTTAGCAGTATGGTGATCAAATTATGGTTTATATTATCTTTTGAGCTGGGACTCGATGAATTGTAACGTAAACTTAAAACATTTAGGCGACTTTGTCCCATTATTTCTCGAATAAGTATTAACAGCGATTCAAGCGATCGATTTCTTTCCTTCCAAACTGTTGGTTTATCACGACTTAATCTAAATTACAAAGTATTGGGATTGAATTGATATAATGCGTCTCTTTTTATCATGTATGCTCAATGAAAGCAACAATTCACGTGTCTTCCAAATTTGTGTTATATTCATTACAGGACAAGATATTTATTTTGATTGCCGAAAACTCTACATTTGATTGTAAGCGGCTCTTTTTTCGTTTATATTACTTTTCTTCTGATTATCTTAATTATTGTTATCATTTCAGGGGTGTCTTTTACAATATTCTGTTTTATTTACCAATGTATAACCCAATAAACACCAATTTTGTAGCCAATCATATCCCTTTCTATCAATACATGAAATATTCCATTATCACTTCTATTATATATACTAATGTACATATCCTAAGCATTTAACCCCAATCAGACAAATTAACGTTTTTAATTCATTTACAAAAAAATGGTAGACAAGAGCAACATATTGATGTATTTCCATTGAATCTTGTCCACATACAATTCAAACTTTGATATATTACTGTCTGCCTTCTCCGTCGTTAGATATTTAATTTCTGTCTCGAGAGTGGAGTGCATCATTCTCATGTGGCTGACCAAGCGAATGATGTTTAATCCCGTTGTGACGTCATGTAACGTTTGAAGAAGCACGGAATATTAAATATGTGTACATGACACGCATCTCATCGTTTTAGGACTGTGGCAATGTTACAAAGTATATAGGTGGATACTCGACATATCAGTAGTACATCGTTCGTTTTTATTATAGTACATTTAGAGTTCGTTCATGAAAAGAAAATTCATCAGTGTTCATCAAATTATAATCATGTACGGAATATTAGACGTGTATATTGTAAGTTATTCGTATTTTGATAAAAACGTATCTTGTCCATGAAAGTCATTTTGCTTTTATTATACAAATCATCACTATATTTCTGTCTTTAAGAATTTTAGTTTAAGCCACGTTTGAAGTGTTAAGAAAGAAATTGTACATAAATCTACATAGTGGCTGAAAAGTATTTTATTGCTATTTGCCGTTCCTTTACGTATATTGGTGAATCTCTTTGTCTAATTTTTCGGAATAGTTTATCACTAGTCTTATTGTATTAAAATCAATGTGTTTTGAAAAAGGAGGAACAAAAAAAGAAGGGGAGAAAAGTAATTAAAAAATATCACTGTGTGGAAATCTCTACTTCATCTTTATTACCGTTTTAATATAAGTTTTATCGTTTGTACACAATTTTGTTGAAAAGGTTACCATACGTTAACAGCTCTAAACATCGATTTATGAATAAACTCTATTTCTATACTGTTGACACGATGTGAACGAACGGACTTTCATTTGTATGTGTGCATCTTTACAACTAAGTGAAGAAGTTTGGTTCCAAAACAATGGCACATCCAACTTAAAACTTTCTTTTTATAGAAAAACAGGGATTTTCATTCTTAATTCTCCTATTGAATTAATGATTTCTAAGGAAACTTTGTCGTCTGTAGGTCACTAACTAATACTGAAGAATAGAATATGAAAAGAAAGGGGAAAATATCTTCATGGATTTAAAAAAAAAAAAGTTTTAGTCTAAGCCCATATTGTTGTTGGGTTATTATTATAGGTTTCCCCGCCCAATCTCATCACAAAGGAGGTTTGTCGACAAGCCAGGTTTGAGTCTGATCAAACCTGGTTTGTCGACAAACCTTCTTTGTGAATTCGGGCCAAAGAGTATAAAAATATGACCGCCCAAATGCTATAAATGCTTGCCTATTCGTGAATTTGAATACTTAAACGTCATGAGGGCGGTGCAGGTGCGAATTCCAATGCATTTACGTGCATTTTTTTTTAATTTGAACGTGCTATTTTACACATTTATGTGAGTAAATCATGAAGTCGCATGCTAATACAATTAAATTGAATGAACTAGTTAGCTTTTTGAAAGTTGATCTCGGTGATCATTAAAATTCGTTCGAAATGGAATGATCGCATCGTTAAATCGGATGGAATTCTGATGGAATTGGGCGGGAAAACCTAAACAGAATGCACATCGGAATTCATATCGGAGATATTTTATTAAGACACAAACAAAACAAGACGAAAACAATAGATGGATGGATTATATAACATAATTTATTGTCTCATCGATATTTATTCAATGAAATATTTCAATGAAACTTCAGGACAATAAACACATACTGGAATAACACCGATTCAGGCCTGGGAAACACCAGAAGGAAACTCATTCTAGTCAGTGGTTTACAAAACATCTGCCAACATACATGTATATAAATATAATTTTATATATAAATGAAGCAATTCCGATTCATATTATAAAATTCATGATAATCATATAATTTTCAAGTAACAATTAAAGGCGTCAAAAGATAAATCGAGAAAGAACACCGGAACCTTGTTTCTTTTATAAACAATATCTATGGGGGCTCAATTCTGAGCAAAATTAGACTTGCTATTAAAATTATAGCCAGCTCAGAACGAGATAAATATTTTCGAAATATTAACTCTAGGGCAATTTCATACCTACACCTATTGTACATCCCATATGAATCAATGTTGGGATTACTAAATACCTAATTTTAATAGGTGACGCGGCACAAGGCTATAGAAATTGTCCTACGTTGATTTTTTGAAAATAGTTGCGGTCGTGTTTAAAATATAAATATGTAGCAAAGCTACACATAGAGGCGTTTCTATGATTCTTTCCATGGGCAAGGGTTCCAGCGAAGACTCTATTAAAATTATAACACACTGTAATACAACAATATTCACATGAAAGATGGAATAATCACAAAACAATAACAACAACGAAGTATAATAACATAATTATCATGGTATCGTTCAAGACATACATTTCGAAAGAAACAACACAACATAATTATGATAACATTCATTAAACATGAAGTTCATATTTATCCTGTAAATGTAACAGGAAAAGAAAATCCAAATGCAAAGACACAACACAACTTGGATTCACTGGTTCATGTGATGTTAATTTCAATCGAACACGTAATAATATTTGAAATGTTGATGATTTTACAAGTATTTATTCAAGTATGAAGTATCTCTAGACACAAATGCGGGAAGGACTACATGGTGTCACTCTGAACATTAAAAATGGACGCATAACATGTTCTACAACACATGCATCGGCTACGAAAGTGCTCCGAATATCTTATCTCAACTTTGGCTAAAGCTCTATAACAAATCCTAACTCTAGCCCTAAAACTAACCTAAATCTCAGTTAGTCCTAAACCCAATACCGCGGTCACACCAAACAGACCGATGCCATACTGACAACTAACCAAGAAAAGATAATTACATTACCCTTAATGGCCAAGAATCGGGCCGAGGGAGGAGGGCGTGGGTTGGGACTTCATAAAGTCTATTTTCTACTCTCCTTTTCGCCCATAAATGGGTGCTATTAACATGTTTAAAAGGATGGAATGAGATAGTATTGCACCCGCAAAATGTCCTTTTATTCTGACATTTTAAGGGTGCAAGGTGAACTGTTATTCTCAGCATGTGAACAAAATAAAGAAAAATTAATTAATAGGTAGTTCTTCGATTGACTATTTAAATACGTGAAGTCCTGGTCTAAAAATTACGTGTTTCATTCAATAGAAGCAGAAAGATCAAACACAGAAGAAACAATAAAAAAAAAACAGAGTTGAAAACAAATCGGACTAAATCTGCTTCAAATCATTTAATGACATGAAAAATCACTTTACAAATTGGCAAGTCAATACGAGAATTTCACTTCATTCCTTTACTATCCCCGATTACATATTTAATAATGATATAAGTTCCTCGTCCCCCACGAGTCTGATATTTTCATAACCTTTACCCAAGTTATGCTGTAATAAGTAACATGTTTTTCATACAATGCCCTAATTAGAGAAAATATTGTTCTGTTGCGATTTGATACGACTTTTGCAATATTATATACATCAATATAAAATGAGAAAAGGTACGAGGATATCATTTCTAGGGGGATAAAGATAGAAAATTGGTGAATAGAAATATTTAGGCAATTATTAAGAAGTGAAATGACATGGCATTTCTGGCTAAAAGTCATTACTTTCGTTTCTAGTTTTTAAAGCAAAAACATTAAATTTTATTTCCGGAATAATTGTTTGCTTGTATTAAAAACAAGTTATACTAGGACCAGAATTCCGTTTTAATAAAGGATAGGTTAAAATAATATTCAGAGACAATGTTCAAGTTCTTATTTTAATGAGATGAAAGGGGGAGGGCTAATATGTGATACTGATTCAAATGATGTATAGATCATGCTATGTCTAGCAATCTTGTTAAATTCAATGTATTCTACGCATTTATCCTTTTGACAACATCCACATTACCAATTCATTAACTAACAAATTTGTATCACCGAGGGCACTGCTTCATAATGCAAAACACTATACACAAAACTATATCAAGACATACAACAGTAATAACATAAGTAATAAAACAAATAATATGGAATATAAACCGAAAGAAAAATCAATACAGATGTAGGAACTGATTACAATGTCTTTCTTTTCAGTGAGCTAACGCTGAAAACCTCAATCTTTTATAATAATAGTAATGTAGTTTATCAATCAGTACACTTTCATTAATCTTTCATAACATGTGGAAAAATGAGCGCACACTGACCAAGTCAACTATTATAAATTTTGTAAGACAAATATGTGAACAAGTTATATGCTTCTTTGACAATCCATGACACGAAAAAGAAAAAGAAAAAATGGTTTTCATGGTACACAATGATAAATATGGATTTGGGACAATGCCAATTTTTAAAAGCTGAAACTATTGATGTTTTATCTTGTTCCTGCATATTACCAGAAATTCTATTTCATTAACTTTGTAAATTCTATTTTAGATACTAGAATTTTTCGTCGAAAATTTTATTGATTCAATCTATAATTGTCAATACAATCAGAGTTTTCATGTTATGAGCTGCTCACTCATCTCATATACCACGAGCACACACGCATACAGCCTAACCCCAATATACACACCCACCCAAACACACGTGCGCAAACACACACACACTCTCTCTCTTTCTCAACTCAAACAGTACTTCTAGTGTTTGGATGGACCATCAACAGTTTTTAATCATGAGTAGATGTGAACTTAGTTTAGCCTGTGGTTCTCCTCAAATAACTTCAAGGAGATTTATGCAAAAGCTATTCACACACACACACACACACAAACATTCGAATATACACTTTTAACAATTATAACAATACACAACAACAATACATTATCATTATAATCATACGTACACACATACTGTACACTCTCAACCTAAACAGTACCTGCTTGAATAAACCTCGAAAGTTTTTGAGAATCAGGAGTAGATGTGAACTTATACCTACACAAAAAAAAAACAAGAACTCACTGTTTCGAGTAAAACCCTTAACAAACTCATAGTCGAGTGAATTGCAGTTCGAAAATATGTATTTTTACACCTTAACTGGAGTACATGACCACACTCTCAGAACACTGGTAAAAAAAACATATTAAAACTAGTTGGTTAAAAAATTTACCAATAATGTATTAAAAAGAAAAAATGGTTAACAATTTATGTTGGTTTACGCGCTGCGCGCAAGTGGTTGGTTAATACGTCCAATTCCCTCCATTGCATGTTAATATCGTCGGTGATTTGACGAAGTGGCACAAACGGGCAAAATTGCGGTTTTGTATGGATTTGAGATTGTTATGACCTATACTTTTACTAGTTAGGCCATTGTCTATCATCTCACCAATTTTTAAGACTCAATTCTAACTAATTATGCTAATACTGCTGATTTAAAAAATGACACAAACGCCAAAAGGCGGATGTTTGTTTTCACGATCGTGACACGCTTAATTGTGTCACTGCGCGTAACCGCAGTTGCGCGCGAATTTTTTTTAGTCTATAAATTCCACAAAGTGACACGCACACTATCGTTTGTCGTGTTGTCATTCTTTGGATGTCCTCCCAAAACATCCGTTTTTCAGTCATCATGATTAGGAAAGAAACGTGGAAGGGAACATATGTGAAAAATAAATGGGTAAGATCTGTTTGTAAGTTATATTGGGTTGTGGGGGGTAATTTGGTGTTCATTTTTGTCCATTTTTAATCTATTTTGAACCGAGAAAGCCCCACTCGTTGGTTTTTGTGTTATTTATGAAAATGCGGAATAAGAGTGGTTTGAAACACAAATTCACACTTTATTCTTCATATTGATATTGATTAATGACATTTCCCTTACACTTATGCTTCTTGTTCCTTTTCTTTCATTTCTTTTCATAAAG